CAGAATATGTAAGAACTCTTAAAACTCAATAAAAAGACACACAATTCAACACTGGACAAAAGATTTGCATAGATATTTCTCCGAAGATTCACAAATGGCCAATAAGCACATGCAAAGATGCTCAAAACCTTAGTCATTAGGGAAATGCAAATCAAAACCACAATGAGTTACTAATTCATACCTACTAAGATGGCTATAATTTTTTAAAAAATAGGAAAATAATAGGTGTTGGCAAGGATATGGAGAAATTGAAACCCCTGTGCATTGCTGTTGGGAGTGTAAAAAGGTACAGCCACTGTGGAAAAGTTTGGCAGTTCCTCAAAAAGCTAAACATAGAATTACCACGTGATCCAGCAATTCTACTCCTAGGTATATACCCAAAAGAACTCAAAACAGAGACTCAGAAATCTGTGAACCAACATACATTAGTCACAAGAGTCAAAAAGTGGAAACAACCCAAGCTCCATCAACAGATGAAGGCATAAATACAAACGTAGTACGTTCATACAATGGAATATTGCTCAGCAATCAAAAAGGAATAAATTCTGACACCAGCTAGAACATAAATGAGCCTTGAAAACATGCTAAGTGAAATAAACCAGTCACAAAAGGATAAATATATTATTAACTCCACTTATATGAAATATCCGGAATAGGCAATTTCACAGAGAAATGAAATTAGCAGTTACCAGCGGCTGAGGAAGAGGGGGGATGGGGATTTACTCCGTAGTGGAGCTTCAGTTTGAGATGATGGAAAAAACGTGGAAGCAGTTGTTTTGTGCTGATGCACAATGTGAAGGCCATTAATGCCACTGACCTGTATTCTTAAAAGTGGTTATAATGGCATGTTGTAGATTACATGTATTTTACCACAATAAAAAATCAGAAGAAAAAAGTTTATATAATGTCTTTGGTAATCTGGATTGTCCAAGGGCAGATTTCTAATCAAGGACTCAAATCTAAAAGGGACTGCAGGGCACCTGATCTGACCCTCACAGAGACCCAAGCAGGAAGCTTGCATCTCCACCTCCTTCCTGACTGACCAAGAGGCATCTCCAGATGCTGCCGGGTGCCCACTGACCTTTCATGCAGGAAGAATAACCTTGCTGCAAAAAACAGAGATAAATGGAAAGGAAGCTGAGGAATCTGAGAGCCACCCTCTGCTACTCTGCAGCTGCATGACATGGATAAATTATTGCACTTCTCTGTGGGAAGAGGGAAGCCCCTGCTTCCTCTCAGTATAAAAGGAGAATAGCACCTGCCTTTAAATGCTGCCGTAAGATCCTGCAAAAGTTCACTACCACACCCAGCCTAGTGCCTGGCAGATGTGGGTGTTCAGTCTAGGACGCCTACTGTCACCCTCCAGCCAAGCACAGGCTGAGCAGGACATGGCTGTGGTCTGGAGAATTCTGACTTATCAGAACTTAAATAAAACACAGCCACGAGCACAATGGGGAGACTTCAGAGAAGGACTGTTTTTATGCAGTTCAGCTCCTCTTAGAAAGAGTGGCCCATTGTTGGCAGAATGAACAGCTAGTCTCCATTAGGAAGGCGGTGCTGCACAGCTCACTCTGCACAACAGGCCTCTGTTAGCACGTTCAGAACAGAATCCCGCTCCACCCACAGGAGAGACATGCTGGGGGAAGACACTGGGCAGGAAGTCAGCCCGAGGTGGTCCTGCGGCAGCTCTCAAACTTCGGTGGTCCCAGAATCACTTGGGAAATCTGTGAAAGATGTAGATGCCCCAACCTCAGACATTCTGATTAGTAAATACCTCAGGCAGGGCCCTTGAGCACAACTGTTTAAAGAACACTTGAAGGAGGGCACAAAGATATTGTAAGATTACATTCCAATGATGACAAACAGACCCCACAAAGCAAAGGCTGCACACGCCCGTTGAGAAATGCAGCAGCTCTGCTCTGGAGGGAGCGGAAACCATGGTAGAGAGATCCCCTGTATGTTACAAACCGCACACAGGTGGTTCAAATAAAAGCCTGTCATTACCGCTTATTCTTTTTAAAAATAATTACAAAATAAATAAAAACAAAAATAAAGCACCATTCTTTGCCTCTCATGGTAACAAAAATATGTACTTAAATTATATTACCAGAAGTTGGTAAATTTTTGTCAAACACCCTTAGATTGATGGGAAAATTAACTGGTACAACTTTTTGGTCAGCAATCAGGCAGTATGTATCAAAAGTCACCCAATAATCTCACTTCTTAGCACATATCCTAAGGAAACAATAGAAAAGCTGCAAACTACATGCAAAAAAGATAGTGACCATTATAGTATATGTAATATATTTTAAAAAAAATAGCTGCATGTCAAGGATACTAGTTTACCAAAATTTGCTCTATCAACTCAAATGACAAAGCCAGTAAAAGTGAAAATGATGTGTACTACATCACTACATGGAATCTATTCATAAAACACTGAAGACCTAAACTTATAAAAAGCAAGAATGTACAGACATCTTTAATGGGAGATACACTAAGAAACAATCTTGTGCTGGGGTGCCTTGATATGGTCTTCCCCCGGCCCCTCACTTTCCTGTATTACTGTTATATCACTGTTAACAGGACCATGAATAAATTTAACTGATTTCATCTACAAAGTTAAGTGGACCACAGTTACACAGAGGCGGAAAGTGGATTCACTGAACTCTGCCATTCTGAATGAAGATAAACTCACCCAAATGTGTCATGGTACAAGATGGCCACAGGCCAGTCCTAGATCTTTTTCACAAAAAGATAAATCTTAAAAAAAAATTATAAATCTTAACAGATATGTTAACTATTAAGCCTTATATTTACATTTTTTAATAAGTAAGTATAAACACACCAAAAGATAGGAGGAAACCTGGTTGGTCAGCTATTCACATGGCAAACAGATGAGAAGACATCACAAACCACAATTTCAGTACGGCGACAAAATTATGCAGCTCAGAGACAGTTTACATGAAAAGAACATGAGGCTGAGAAACAGAAGGCCCAGCTCTCTTCCCAGTCAGTTCTGGTCCCAGTCCTGTAACATACTGGGACTTAACTTGCAGGTCTGGGTTCCTCATTTGTAAACTGATAGGATAATGGACTGGAAGGGAACAAATAAGATTATGAATGTAACAGTCCTTTGAAAATCCAGGGTTTTTCCCCCTTAAATCTGGCTGTTAGTATCATGAAGACAATTCTATATACGTAGCTATGAAAAAGTGTACAGCATTTAGGCAATAACTCCAAACTGGTAATGAGTGAGTGCGCCTCCCAAGGGGCCTGGGTCTGCAGCCAGGCCTTTCCCTTTAACTGCACTGTTCGAGTCTTTTAGGACAATCCATTCATCTACTACTGGATCATTTCTTTAATGTGTAAAACCGAATATAATCACTGATAAAATACAGAGTGTGGTATTCGCAAACTGAGTTTTTAAGAATATCTGGAGAGTGTGAAAACTGTGGCTGCCCAGGCTCCACACAGACTTAATGAATCAAAATCTCAGAGCAGTTGCAAGTAAGTAAGGCCCAGCCATTTGTACCTTAAGAAGTTCCCCCAAGTGATTCCCGTGGCTTGATTACCGTTCTTACCACCACACTTATTAATATGAACTCCCACCATGAACACGATGGGAACACCACACATCCACTTAGCATATACCAGCCAATATTCTCAGCACCTTACACAATCTCACTCAATCCTTACACAACCATTAACACCGCCCTCCCTTCATCCTCCTTTTATAGACAAAATCATCAAAATACGGAGACCAAACAGGCCCATAGCCCAAAGCCACACAGGGCTAGTAAATGGCAGAGTCAGAATGCACAACAAAGTTTGAAAATCCTCAAGTCCAATAGTAAGCAGAAGATACCAGTGTTCTTACAAACTCCCAGAGCCTCAAGTACGTAGACAAGAGTAAATCACCAGGTGAATCTTCAAAGGAGGAAGGTAACGGGTACAGAGAAATCAGCACAGACGAGACTTCCAGGCAAGAAACAAGGGGGAAGTCAACAAAGGTGTTATGGAAGAAATGCTGCCTTCTGAGTGTAGCTGAGCTACATCTTTAGGGATCCTTGAAGAGAGAGGAGGGGGCTGCCACAAGAATCTGGGGAGGAAAAACATTGAGGATGACAGTAGGGTTCTGAGCACAAAAGAGGCAGGAAAGCCCTGGGGTGATGAAGACAATCAGGAAACAATCAGGAAATTCTGCGCTAAAAAGAAGAGGCCTTCAGGTCAGTTAGTCAAACACACACTCCTTATGTAGGCTGACTTGCTTGCACTGGGTAAAGAAAGGTTAGTTTACTTTCTTAAATTGTATTTTACAAACCAAATACTGCAGCACCAATGATTCCGTTTTTAAACACTTGTTATTTTCTGCTAGTCTACTCTTCACTATTTGACAACCAGACTTGCAGTTACCAAAACTGGCAGTTTCAATAATTCAGCTCTGACTCTAATGTTTATCATCCTTTAAATGCTTACAATATTTACTAGTACTATGAAATAAATGTATTAATAATCTAAAAAACTACAACTTTCTAAGTGGAACATTGTCAAGAACAAACGGAGTCTCAGGTCTGAAAAACTCTCTCACCCAACTTAGAAACTGTGAGACTGAGCCGCCTAAAAAAAGAAAATTAAAAGACTGAAGGAAAAAAATCTAAATCCAAAACTAATTAACAAAATATATAACACATGTGAATGATAAACTTAACAGTCTTCTAGCCATTCATTTCTCAACATCCCTGTCAAACTGTTTTAAGGATCTGAAATGTTGCTCTATAAAAAGCAAGTTCCCATCATCTGAACTACACTTAAGAGATTCTATCACGGTAGGTACTGAAGCATAAAACACGAAGCTTCAGATTTTTGCTTCCTGTTAGCATAAAAAAAAAGCCCAACTCTTTTATGTAAAGTTGAATCTGTGGCCAAAATCCTGCCACACAGAGATCCAGGTTTTCAGTTTTAACACTAATGTAAAGTGCAAAGGCCTTTTTCTTACTTACCACTTAGATTGTAACATGGAGATACAATATTTCACACCTCCACCACCAACAGTCTCTTCAAAGGATTTCTCACTTCGGTTAACTTCAGCTGGAAGAATACAAAGCTATGGCTGAAAACTCCTTAATAAAAATAAAACTTCAAAAATCTAAAACTGCTACACATTAGCTGATAAACTATGAATTACAGAAACAGATTTAAGTTAACAGTTGCTAAAAAAAGGTGA